AAAAAATTTTAAAAAATATTAATTATTTATAAAAGTAAATCAGAAGAGAATTTATAGTAAATAAGCAGGCAAATTTGCCTATAAAATCCTACAATTTAAGGGATAGAAATAAAATAGATACTCGCATAACTGATTTCATCATTCTAATGGGGCAAGGTAAAAAGGATGGTTAAGCTGTGGATCAGTTGCAATATTACACCAACTGACAACTACAGAAATAGTGGTAAATTTGCTTAATGATGCAAAAAATAAAGGCCTTGAAATGCATGTATAAATAATCATTTTCTAAAATATATTCTCCTAAAGTCACGTAAAATTTTTTTGAACTGTATTTTGACTAATTAAAATAAAATAAAGCACAGTAACGCTTTATGATGTAACTTTTTTTACTCCAGCCATCATACTATTTTCTGAGCATGAATATTAAAAAGAAACTGACCTATCGTAATTTGAAAGAACTGTTGATGAAAAAATTATTGAAGTACGGAGTACAGACGAGACATTTCACAATTAATGTTTGAATGAAATATATCTTTTCAGTTATGACTGTACATTTGTAAAGGTGACTTTAGAGTTTACAAGCTAATATCTATTTTTTTGTTCAGAATTTTCAGAGATCTTATTAGGCAGAGAGCATAAATTTTTAGTGAGTTTTACTAAAATCAATATTGTTAATTTATTTCTGACTCTGCATAACTGATGACCATTTTGTTCTATCCAGAATATTGACATTAGGATAAATGAAATTGGATTAGAATTAATATTGAGATATTATTTAGTATAGATAGTTTAGATGATGGTGTGAGTCTGTAGATATTAGTATATAAACGCCATTTTACTTTGTAAAACAAATCTATATATCATCAATCATGTAATTTATTTACTGCATCAATAAAGAATTCAAGCTGAAAATTGCTATACATTGTATCAAATATATTTTTCGTGGGATATAGAGACGTATTGTGAATAAAAAAGTGAGACTTAAAGTCCCACTTGGATAAAATGCATTTTAAATAAATCGCGTTCTATATAAAAGGTATTATCGAATATGCAATTTGAACTTGATTCATTGAAACAGCGCTTCATCGAGTTTCTGGCTGAGAATGCTAAGATTAAGGCTAAAAATACCGAGATTAAAGTTAAAAATACTAAATTAAGGCAGGCTATGAAAGAGAATGAGGCCAGATTCGTAAAACTAGAGCAGAGCGATAAAGAAAAGGCTGAGCTTATTGCAGAACTAAATTGTGATGTTGGGAAAATCAAGCAGAAGCAATTTGCTATTCATGTTTCAGTGCAAGACGAGATATTCGTGGTGAAATCTTTCACTTATTTAGAATTACAGGTGACTTCCTAATCATTTATTTCACCGCCTATTGAGGGTAAATCTAAGAATATCTTCAATGTAACTCAACCCACTTATGCAGGGTCTAAATTATTGAAGGATAGATAGACCGATGAATTCCTGATTTCGGTAAGTAAGAAAGAGGTTAGTGATATGATGAGATAATATAATAAAGAGAAAATCTTTTGCGTGGATCAACACATTCAAACCAAGATCAGGATGAGCCCTCAATTTCCTAGAATAATTCCTCTATGCTAGAAGATTCTGCAAAAATCAAAACCAATACAAGTAGTTTGCAATCATCAATCAAATTGAGTAATTACAGAGCAGGAGAAACTCAAGTGCTATCCAAGGATACAAAAGTTTCTCATGATTATATAGTAGCCCAAGATTTTATACAAGAAGTGTCTTCAGAGTTGTTTGATGCATATGATATCCAAATTATTGATGGAAATCAAAAGCTTTTAACTGATATGACAATAGAAGTTGAGCTTGCTCATCTATTTCTAAAAGTAAGTATTGAAGGAAAGAATACTACACAGGTGAAGCAAAAAGAGATTTTATATCGCTATTTATATGGGAAAAAATTCAAAAAAGGTGTTCAAAAAATTATTGCCAAAGATAATATTTCAGAACAGAAAGCAAGAAAACAATTATTCCAGGATATAATAAAGCATCTTTCTAAAATAACATTGGAAACTTTACGTAAAAGAACCCAAAGAGCCATAAAGATTTACAAACTGTTTGAAAAGATAAGAATAGATAGAATTAAGAATATCAAATCTTATAGCGCAGATTCTATTTCAAATTTTACTAAGCCTCAAGTTCAAATTATTCTGGATTATTTCAGTGGATCTGGCTATACTGATACGGAGCTAAAAAAGCCTAACTCATATTCTGGATATAAAAATGTAGAAAAAGTGAGACCTAAAGTCCCACTTGAGAAAAGTCAAGGGTATGTTCTAAAAAAATTACCAGATGTTAGGATAAACACACCACCTACTTCTCAAACTTCAAAAACCAATCAGACTAATGTATCAGAGATGCAAGAGAAATGCTTGGATTCAGTTGAAGTAAATATATTGGCAAATATATCTTCTTCCAGTCAATCTAATCCAACTTATTACTGCATCTATTTTCACAACAAGACGTTGGACCAATATCCTACTTTATATAGAGAATTTAGTAGTGAAAATTTTGATTATTATGGTATTACCGATAAAACATTGCATTGTGTCTATTATGCGAGTTAGACTATGATGATGATGAAAGCATAGAAGGTAGATATAAAGCTGGATCCTATTTTATTAAATATAAACAGCATAAAATTGAGATAGTTACATAGTCTCATTGCTTTACAATAGTCAAAGTAACTCTTTGGGGTGATAATCTATCTAGGAATTTTAATCTTTTTTTCGAATAAATAGGTCTATATGAGAAAAAGGGATTTAAATTGACTCGCAATCATATAAAATTAAGATATGTCTAAGACTGATAAAATACTAACCTCCGAATATCTGAATTGGCATGTCAAATTAAGTGGGTTACCAAGTGTTTTGACAGATAAGATTTAGTCTAGCTTATACAAAAAATATAGAAAAGAAACTGGGTATGAGCCATAGCAACTATCAAAAGTATATGAATCAGAAGTCATAAATTTAATGCCAGAAAACAAAGTATTATCTTTCCTGAGCAATGTGAATAAAAGGGATCTATAGCCAGACCCGAACTAGAATTAATTATCAAATCCATCTTAAAGCATTTCACATACTTGAAATTCGAAAATAGTTTCAGAGGGATTGATAATTATAATTTTACATCACTTCAGCTGTGAAGCTCGCCATGTCCTATTTGTGATGAAAAATATGAGAATTATGGATTATATAGCTTATGGTACCGCATAAATAGAAATCAGTTCCCTTATGATCTTAAATTAGCAAAGTTGTATTTCCAAGATAAGTTGGAATATTGTCTTACCTACAACACTTCAAGTAATAAATTCAAGTTTGCGATTGTGGCATAAGCCAGTCATATGATTTGAATAACCAGTCTATTGATCAATCAATAATAGATAAGCTTTAAAGTTAGCCTTTTGTGTGATAAGTAGTGATTTAAGCCGATAGTGTTACAGTCAACTGATAAGTCGCTGACTAAGTCATTAGCTTATTCGACTAAGATCTTTAGGAGGTAATACATTAACGGTATAATTTTTTTATTTTATTTTATTTATTTATTTATTTAATTTTTAAAATAAAAAATTTAAAATTCTTATTTTGAATAAAGTATTACTAGATATTATTTTCTTTTAAAAATAAGAGATCATAAACAGTATTGGGACTTAAGCAATTTCTTTTATCAGTAATAATATTGTCTGCATCTGAAAAAAGCCATTCAAATAGAACAGATATAGCAGGTATAGATAAAAATTTACAAGCTTGTTTAGACAATAAGAAAAATGTAGACTTTCTTTTACGCCACCATTGTAAAGGGTCATTAAGATGATATTCAGGATGATTTATAGGTATTACAGAAAGAGTAGGAAGTTGTAAGTATAGGGAAATTTCTGTATCTATTGGGGATATGTTAGATTGTTATAATGTCATGTTTTGATTGAAAAATTTTATAAAAATAGAATTATTATAAGAAAGAGAAGTAATCGAAGATATTGACTGTAATTTTGAAGTTTCTAATAATTCAATCTGTTGTTTTAAATGTTGTTTTGTATCTTCAATTTGGTTTGCTGATAAAAAACCTAAATATTTAAACCTAGGGTCTAAAAAACTAGCAATACAACCCAACATATGAGGAAGTTTCCAACATTTATTTAGAGAAGCTAAAATCTTATTACATACTATTATGATAGATTGGCTTGTAATAGTTTGTATAATATTTTTTAAATATTCTTTTAAACAATGTAAAGTGGGATATCATAATGAAAGAGTTGGGTATGTGCTACCTGAAGTAAGATTCGTTGCATTTACAAAAGGTCTAAGTAATAATATTAATTCTTCTAATGCTATCCAATCTTCTGAGCTAAGTAATAAATTTTTCAAAAGATCATCATCAGAACGAATGCTTCTATTAGGATCTAAAGTAAGCTTATTTGCTAATTCAGGAAGTGTATCACGAAAATAAATTAGTCTTTCTAATAGAAAAAGATACTATTCCAACATTTTAGTATCAAATGTAATTGGATTTAAAATATTTTGAATTATCTTTTTTTAATTTTACTTTCAGAAAAGTTTCTTTTAATAAAATATGATATTTGTCATGGTTAACTATAAAACTATTCAATTTTTTTGCTACATCAATTAAAATTTTAATTTCTTTTAACCCATCTTTAATTGCAAGTTGCATAATGTGTGCAATACAATGAACATGATTAGTTTCTAGTTGTCGCATTGCTTTTATCATTGAAGCATTATTATCAGTTGTCCCACCAAGTAACTTTGATATAATGTTCCATTTTTAAAACTCTTTGCGTAAACAATCTTTAATACTATCACCTAAATGTAGATATTTAAAATTTTCAATAGTAAGTAATGCTTGTCTAATTTCTAAATTTGGAGTCAACTAATGTATAGTAATTCCAATAAAAGGTAAATGATTTTGAGTCCATAAGTCAGTTGTAAAAAAGAAAGTATCTATAGTATTTTCTAACATTTTATATAAGCTTTTTTCTTTAATACTAACAGATTCACTCATTTTTTATATAAAGTATTTTACATGGAATGGGATAGCGTGATTCAACCTGTTAATAAACTTTCGAAATTTGAAATTATTAATCACATGAAAAGCTTGCATATTGTCTACTAACCAATCTAATAAATCATTCGTAATTACTTCAATGAACTTTTGATCAAGAGGATCTTGATTTTCAATTTTATTTTCTGAATCTGGTAAAATTTCTGCTCCTTCAAATCTTCCTTCAATTATTCGATGTTTTGTTCTTAAATGATTAGCAATACTAGTTGTGCTTGTCTTATTTTTACATGACCATTCATCTTCAACTAATATTTGACAACATCGGCTTTTTTTTGAACAAATGACCAAACCCAACTTTCTGCTGATCGTTTTGCTAGAATAACTTATATATGTGGTGTAGTAGGAGTCTCTCTATTATTATCAGAAAAAGCTGAAGTATTAAGATTACTCATTTTTTCTCTAAAAAAAAATATGGAATTTTTCAGACATTTATAAAACAAATTATTTTTTATGAACAATAAATTCGATTATTAGCGTTAAATTGCATTTTCTTTTGTTTCGTAACAATTATCATGTATAGTGCATAATTAAATAAAAACGGATCAACTAATAACTGCTAAAGCTGATCGACTCTATAGTCAGCTGACTAAATCAACTAGTCAACCGATAATGACTGACTCAGATCAACTTCAAACACTAGTGACAAGCAAAAAATGATGTAATATATCACGTGTTAGAGTAAATTATTTATATTGTACTATTCAATTATTAACTCTGAACTAACTCTGATGGGTAACAATCTTTCTAAAAGCGTCAGAATGTAGGTTTAAAATAGTAAATTTCCTTCCTGCTACCTTTTTGTATTTATTTCTATTTTTCCTAGTCCTTAGGTGATGAAGCTTGGTCTTGGTTAACAAACATAAGTAGAGAAAAATGGGCAAAACAGTTAATTAAAGATTTCACAGAACACTTCAGGTATTTATTCTTTGCACCGTTTCGAAATGATAGGAATAGTTAACGAAAAATTTTTATGTAGGACGAGTCAAATATACATTCCATTTGGTACTACAGGGAAGATAGTAGAACCACCTCACTGTCGGCCAATTCCAATAGTGACGTTATAGGATGCAGTAGCATTACTTTGAACGATATACATAATGAGAATGGAGTTTATCAAGGGAATGGAGCTTCAAAACCAAAAACAAATTCTTTCAATAATGTTAATTACCCTAGCAGAAAAGATTACGATGATGGAACTGAATGTGTTCGGTCACCCAACAACAGTAAATATAATGATATCAGCGGAAAAAGTGATCAAATTTATGTATAGGGTATCAGTTCGAAGCGGAATAAAAACAAAAACGATAATAAAGGGTATGGTGGAAGAGAACAATCGCTAAATAGCAAATACGAGGGTAAGTGCCTTTCCGATATTACAAGAGTGTATTACCCAAACCGTTCGTTGCAACTTCCGTTGGGGCAACTGCACTGAATTAGTACCTTGGATGGTAATGCATAAACGAAAGAAGAGCCGATGACACTGTGTCGTTTTGTGGTCCCAAACATTCAATCTGCGCAAGAAACAGTTCCGAAGACAATGTCCCAAGTGCCAAAAAGTGAAAAGCAGGATGAATCTCAAGAAAGTTGCTATAATCCGAAGAATCCGCTCATGATTGTTGAAATAATCGCAAATAAAAAAGATCGTAAACGTGTTACAAATTATCTTAACTATGATATCGAACGTGGAGATACTTCTACTTGTATATGTTATATGGAATTTATTAAGATGTATGGTTTTGATCATATTATCATTATCGGAGAACTTGATGCTGGGCTTCTTTTTCTGGATTGTTACAGCCGTGTGTTCGAATGGGACGACTCAATGACCGGTGTTTTGTGGCCTCTTGGGGATTATTTGAATGAGGCGCCAAAGGTATCTCATACTCACTGTGTAATATGGGATTATGAGTCCGATGGGACTGTTGCCAAACTTGAAGTCGCTAAGGATGGTATGTCAAGATTTTTGCTCATTCTCTTTTTGTCTTAATTTATATAATTAATTTCTTCTTTCCTAGATTCACCAGACAAACTAATCTTTGACATACCCGCCACTGTTATAAAGAAGAAAAATAATTCGAAAAAAAAGAAAAAAAAGAAACTGCATTGATTTGGTTTCTATGTGTGTGATGTGTTCTTTCGATTTAAGTTTGATTTGTTATTAGTATTATTCACGTGAACAAATAATAGTAATTATAAAATATACATAACATAGGACAAATTTACTATATTTTGCGTAATCTGCAGGCGTAAATAATAAAGATTTTTTACACGACATTAATGCTTCATATCTAAATCATAAAGACCATTTCTACTATGTAATTCAAGCCCGTCACACTTCTTCTAATAAGGTTCTGAGTAAAAATCATATGATTGAATTTTTCGTCTACTGCGACTATAAATTTTTTGTGCAAGGACGTCAATTTATACTTAGTGTATTGGATTAAAGGATAATGTCTGCGCAATTAAGTCGAGCCCAGACACGGTGTCTATGTGATTTGTTATAGGCATAAAGCAATCAATCGTAAATAAAGTTTGCCCAATAGGGCTTCTGTTTTTTAACTCATGTATATGAATATGATCCCTGCTAAATGTGTCTGTTACCAATAACTGTTTTCCTGCAGGCTTAGAAAAAGAAATAAGTCTAACTATTTTCCTTCACTTCGCCACAATGTATTGTGTCATATGATTAATCCATACTTCAGACACACTGTCTACCACCAGAAAAAACAGAATTTCATTCACGTGTATTCTCAAACATATAATAAAGCATTTGCATATCCCGTCCATATCAGGGGTAACTGATTGCCAAACATCATGAAAAATAATTTGCCGAGCCCGGACACTGTGTCCAGACTCTACCATCAGATAGTCATGTACAGTGGGATGGATATCAAAAGTCACCGGACACTTAAAAATTAGAAAATCGACGGAAATGTTTCTTTTAAATAAAATTTTTTATTTTATTAATTTAATCACTTTTGGAATAATAAGTAAAGTTATGCTCCATAACGAATTACATATAATTGAAAGTTTTTATAGATATCTTGATCAGTAGTAAAATATATATTATTCATTTAATGTGATATTTTTGTGTTTTAATACAAAATTTCAGTTATAATTGAACCTAAATTTTTTCAGCTATAATCATTTTTATTCATTAAGTAAACTTATTCGTCAAATTAAAAAATAAATTTCTGCCAAATTTTAGATTAATTATATTTATTCTCATGGAGATCGTTTGATAAATGTAGTATTAAATTTATAAAGAGATAGATATATCACGTGACTTTTAATAACTTCACTGTAATCAAGTCGATCTCATCAAGTTTATATGTAATTAATCTGAAATTTGGCAGAAATTTATTTTTTAATTTGACGAATAAGTTTACTTAATGAATAAAAATGATTATAGCTGAAAAAATTTAGGTTCAATTATAACTGAAATTTTGTATTAAAACACGAAAAATTATATGCAATTCGTTATGACGCATAACTTTACTTATTATTCCAAAAGTGATTAAATTAATAAAATAAAAAGTTTTATTTGAAAGAACCATTTTCAGTCGATTTTCTAATTTTTAAGTGCCCAGTAACTTTTGATATCCTACTGTATAATTACTTATGAAGTACCTTAACGATCGGCTATTTTAGGAGATAAATTTACTGGATGTTGATCCAGCTTCTGCTCAATTTTGATGAGCTCAGAAAAGCACGTGCATTTTATTTATAATCATTTTTCTGAATTCTCATTATGCTTATCCGGTTAAAGAAAAAATCTGAAACCTGATTCTTGTGATACGTCATACACCTCTGATTAAAATCATTTGGCTATTATATTATCTCAAACTAATTTAACCGAATTATGCCATTGGAAAATTCCCAGAGATTCACAAACCGATTTACATGCATGTAAATATGCATATAGCCAGATGTAGACCTTATATAAACCCTCGATATGCTTGTAATTGAATAAAAAAATAAATCTGATATTTTATTATAATATACTTGCTACAAACTGTTATAACACTAAATATTCGCTAAAATATTATAAATCACTAAAATTGCTATAAGTCTATTTATTGTTCATAATCATATATAATTATCAAAATGCTTGGATTAATAGTTAAGATCATTTTAGATAATATTTATAATAAAGCTGTACCTAAACCTGTCAATCTCTGTCCTGAATATGATATGGAACATGTTGCTAACTATTATAACAGTCGTTTAAACGAACAGTTTAAAAAAGTGGTTAAAATAGAAAAGCAATACGATTATTTGTTTATTATTAGACCTCATGAAACACCTCAGCAATAGGCTAATTGTGTAAGAGGTTCTTTACAAGAATTACTTTCTAAGCGAAAATATAGTATATATCATGTATATAGCCTTTTCGCTTCATTCGGGCAAGTAGAATCTAAAATATACTACATTAATGATGAGCTATATGAAGATTACTTTGGCTATTGTAGACCTAGTATTCATAAAGTCAGATGGCTATCTGTTTCAAATGCTGGAAATTGGTGAAGATTGCTAAAGTAAAGCCTAGAAAGTTTATTATGATAGATGATATAGATAGGCATATGAAGTTGAGTCTGAAGATTTGATGAAGAATCATTGGGATTGCTCTTGCTTCAAGGCTGAGAGCAAAGATGAATTATACTTCATGGTTAATGCCTATTTATTGACTTATCCTTCTTTATTACCAACTCCTTATCGATATTTGGAAGATTTTCTAAGAAAACATATAACAAGTGGATTATTTATCTCATTTCGGTATGCAAAACAAAATAACTTGATATCATCCATAAATTATCTTAATCAACCAAAAGGTGCTATGTTAAGATTAAGAAATGTGGTAGAAATCACGATTATTTAACTGGACGACTGACTAATTTTGAAAAAATGTAGACCATTACTTTATTTGGTATATAACTTATTATATTTTTTTCTTATCAAAGTGATCGGCAAAAATAGCTATAGGTGCTTTGCACATTTGCTTGCATCTTATAGACAGCCAATGTATGTAGGCAGTGTTGTTATAGGACATTTTTAGAACATGGCCTGGAACATTAGGACTTAATGTGAGACATTTTGGGATATAGTGTGAGACAATCTCAAAATGTTTGGGATATTGAAAATGTACATCACTGCATGTAGGCATGTGCGACAGCTGTTAAGATGCTAAAGCATAAATAAACATGTTCATTAAAGCTTGTGGAGTACATAAATGATGTAATGGTGATACATTATCAATCATCTGTGTGACTATCTGCTTATACGATAAAATAATTTCACACATAAATCGACACTACCAAAAAGTATTTTGAATTTTTTCTCTTACAATGTTCTAGAAAAAAAGCATATTATTTGCTCGCCTCCGGCTAAGAAACGGGCTATTTCTACCCTCCTTCGATTATAGATCTGCAGGAGATATCTATACAAATAATAGCATATCCAGATAGACAAAAAAACCATATATACATTACCCCAATGTCTTTCTAAATGTCAAGATCTTCAATGTACATTTTACATGCCTTTATTCTCTAATACAAATGTTTGGCATAGAGCGCCTTGCATGATTCTCCTATCTCTTCTTCTCAACATGAATACAAGCTCAGAAAAATGTAAATGGAGTCATTTAAAAGGTAATATATGATTTTTTTTTAGCAATATTATATATTTTTATCATTATGTCTTCTCCTATGTTATATGAAAATATTTATAATTTTTTACTTGATTTACCCTCAGATCATATTACTGCATTTTCTATTATTTTTCAACTAATAGAAGATGATACGTGGTATCCAAAAGATAAGTTAAAAGAAATAATTCATCAGACAATTATAGTAGTAAAAAAGAATTACGATCAGACTTCAGAAAATATCTCAAATTCATTAATATTCCCTTGAAGGTTAATGATTATTACTATTATTTATCAGATTTATAATCCCAAATGATGATTGCATAAAATGATATTATAATACCAAATTAATGAGTACTCATAGCCATGTGAGCATAGGTTTAATCAAATGCATTATTTTCTTAGACACATGAGGTGGATCTTAGTTCTGATTTATGAAGAAAAAAAATATAGCATTCATGTGCATTGTTAATTGTATACAGGCCACATATAGTTAATAATTACATGATATATACTGACAGGTATGCGCACATGAATATAATATCAAAAGTTTAACTACATTAGTACTAATATAAGACTTCTGCGCTAGTTTAATGATGCATATGAAGATGTAAGTAGTCTTCAGAGTATCAAAGAATCAAAACAGAAAGAACCACTCACCAAGAATGAAATCGAGACAAATTTACATGTGTTGAAAACTAATCTTAAAATAGCAAGACTCTATATGCCCACCACTTCTGTAAATATTTAAAAAAGAAAAGTGCTTCAGACTTATCATAACGTGTTCCACTTGCTAGTCAAGTGATTTGTGCAGATTCAGAAATGGTGAGAACTTTAGAAGTAGTAGCATATAATTTTTTTATGGTGAGTAATTTAGCAAATAGTATTTTGTATTGCCATAGTTTACTTTCAGCAAAGAGTATTATATTAATATTGTAATCCTATAGGATCCAGCGGAGCCTATGAAAGTAACTGCTTTAGATCTTGTCAAAGATAATTGTGATTCGTTTTGAATTTCATAGACAGTATTACAGATGTTCCAAATAATAGACTTTTACATGATAAAAGTTGGAAAGAATCTAATAAAAAACTAGCAAAAGTTAGATTAGGTATACTTAATATCTTGTGAGTATTTTAGTAATAAAAGACTTAACGTAATCATATTTGGCATTTTTTAAAATTTTTTCATTTAACACTATTCTTTATTAGAAGAGATATTTGGAAAAATCCAGCCTTTAGTCTAAAGATGATTAAGTTACAAAGTAAAGGGACATATATGACTGATGTAATAGTTCCAATGATTCAAGCATTATTAAAAGATCTTCCAATTGGGAAATCTGATTATATTTCCACAGCTGAGTGTCAAAGTATAGCCAGCAAAGATCGAAGAGGAGTTAAAAAATGACCAGATGTTATGTTTATTGCTAGTTGTAATAATAGGTCATATGAATTAATTTATGGTAAAAGTTCTCGTATCATTTGTGATAAACTAAAAAAGGAAAATAATAAGGTAAAAACTTGGAAAGAGATGAATAATGGAATATATTGGGCTCACAAAGGATGCAAACTGGTTAAAGATGACTTTAGTATTATTGGGATCCAAATCGCCAGAACTGAGATGCATTTAAATATCTTTATTCGAGATATGAATAAGATATATCATTTTTATAATTTACGTAAAGTTGAAATTCCAATACAGCCAACAGATGGGAATACGGTATTTGAATTTGTTAAAACTTTATTGATAATTTGGATATATAGAACACAATTCTTATATTTTACTCACCACTCCTTCGGTCATAGACCTATAGGAGATAGTCTATTCCCTCCTTTGAATAAAGATCTTCAGA